GATCAAGGTCTCTTGTTCTGAAACATTGCAAGGTCTTGGTTTGAACAGCTGGAGAGTCTGGATGCACAATGCTGACGGACTGTTGTGTACTTTGTACACAGACCCAGACAGCCAAACAGGGAAACAGGTCCAGAAATTGAATACGAGAAGGCTGAAGTGTCCTGACTCCACAGAGTCCATTCGATCACTTTCTAGCCTCTTCATCCAACACAGGGTCACGGGGGAGCAAAACCTATCCCAGCAAGCCATGGGCACAAGGCGGGGTACACCCTGGATGGGACATCAGTCCATCACAAGGCACACAGCGACACAAACACTCACACACTCGCACCAGGGCCGATTGTCCCAGAAGCCAATTTATCTATGTGTATGTTCTTAGACTGTGGGAGGAATCCAGAGCTCCCCAGATTCCTTTCATCTAAAATGACAACAGATTTGAAACACAAATCAGCACAGACTGCTGCTGAGAAATTCATAAACAAGCCTTTCTGAATTTTTGTAGGGGAAAAAATTAGTTCCATGGGTTGATCCTCATTTAACAGTGTCTCCACGAAGGCAGACATAGTAGGTTTAACGATCTCTGCTTGTTGAACATCCTCAGGGGTTGTTGGTCAATTTGATTATTTTTCACCTCCATCTCCCTGAATGCCTCTCCCATAAGTGCTACAGGAGCTTTCATGTCATCATTGGAGTATTAAATATCACTGACCAAAGAGCTCCACTTAATTCCTGGAGGGTGAGTCAGTGGTATCAGTCATTACCAAATACAGGGCTGATCCATTAACTCAGTATAATGGCAGCTTCTGTAAATTCCCTTTGCAGCCTTGCAAATTCAGACTCCTTAGCCTTTTTTCAGCCTTGAGAATAAAATCAATCAGAAATATGAGAATGGAGGAACATTTTATTTAAAGCCTGGAGGCCTGATCTGATGTGCTTAATTGATCTGATGTGCCTATTGATTGGAGAAAAACTACATCTAAAAGATCTTTTTTTTAAAACTTGCCTCTTATCAATATGTATTTTAAGCTGGTCTAGGCAATGCTAATAAATGTCTATAGAAACTGAGCCGGACTTTATTTTGTATAGCTGGGTAGCTGTCACTATATCACAGCTGTGTTTAAATCATGATCAATTATTAATCTTCATTAAAGTGATTAGCGCTAAAGAAAAACTCTACTGCCACCTTGTGGCACCACTGTGTCACCAACAGAACGTTTTTACCGAAAAAAATCGACAGAATACCTGTTCATGTACCGTATCTACTCTATCTATAGGAACAAGTAATGGGTTTATTCCCTGCTGAAAAGAGAAGAGAGAAAACACAACGTTTCGGCTGTGAAGTCTTCTTCAGATGTTCAATTCAATCACTTTCTAGCCTCTTCATCCAATACAGGGTCACAGGAGCAAGAACCTATCCCAGCAAGCCATGGGCGCAGCACACCTGAAGAAGGCTCCACAGCCGAAACGTTGCGTTTTCTTTCTTCTCTTTTCAGCGTGGAATAAACCCATTACTTGTTCCTTTGCAGACTACGCATGCTGACGCAGCTCCCCACCTGAACTACTCTATATATTTTTTATCTTTCAAAATCAGTCATTTTAGATCTTAAATTGTCATCTCTAAGGAGAAAAACGTTAAAGATCAAATTAATTCATTTTCACTAATATCCCACTTCTTTCATAACCATCTGATTTGTTTTGGACTCAGCACGTTTTAATCTGATGATAATTTTACTCAGAGTGAGATGTGCATCTGCCATGTCAGGTGCTTTTTGTTCTTGACAGATGACAGAATAAATGACAGAATAAATTGAATTAATGTAATTTAATGTAATAACTTAGTGGCGGTATACTGTACCTGTCACCACTGTGTAGTGCAGTTAAGAATTATCATATCAATATATTACTCTTAATGGGAATGACCCTTTTCATCTCAGCTGACTACTTGTAATGTAGAATTAGTTCAGGTGGGGAGCTGCGTCAGCATGCGTAGTCTGCAAAGGAACAAGCAATAGGTTTATTCCCTGCTGTAAAGAGAAGAAATAAAACGCAACGTTTCGGCTGTGGAGCCTTCTTCAGGTGTGAGGAAGAAGGTTTTACAGCCAAAACGTTGTGTTTCCTTTCTTCTCTTTTTAGCAGGGAACAAATCTATTGCTTGTATCTACTTGTAATTTAGTCTACGTAACTGCTGAATAACACACCTTTCGTCTTACCTGTTTTCTAAGAGCTAGTTTGCATAGTAAAATAAAGTAAAATTTACAAACAGATCTAGCCTTACTTCAGGATGATTTAGTTTAACTAATAACATTTAGTTATTCTTATTCTAACATCTTACAGCCCTCAATAACCTTTTTTACCAGCAGGTTGGTGGAGTCGCCATGGGCACCAGGATGGGACCCAGCTATGCCAATATTTTTGTTGGTTGGGTAGAAGAATGTCTTTTCACTTCCTACACTGGCTTTGTCCCTGACCTCTACAAGCGAAACATCGCTGACTGCGTTGGTGCTGCCACATGCTCTAATGACCAATTAGAGCACTTCCTGCATCACTTCACCAACTTCCACCCATCCCTCAAATATACAGTTAACATATCTCCCACAACTCTTCCGTTTCTAGACATAAACCTATCCATTAATCATCCGACTCTCTACTTCAGTCTATTACAAACCCACAGATTCACACAGCTATCTCCTGTACAGCTCATTTCACCCCAAACACACTAAAAACTCTCTCCCCTTTTCACAGTTCCTTTCTCCAAGCCCGTAGTTTCTCATTTCACCTCTGACGGCCATGATCACACCGGTCTCTCTGTCTCTGTCCCCAAAGAAGGGTTTCTCAACTCCCACAGCAGAAAAACAACAGAAACGAAACTCATCCTGAAACGTGGTTCACACCATCCCCCTTCTCTCAACGACAGACTTGTTTTTGTGTGATCATCTCTATTCTCATGCAGGTTTCGACTGCACCCCTCTCTTCACCTCTCCCCACTTCGCACCACCTGGGTGGCCTCTCCCCTGCTCCCGCCTACGCCACTCTCCCAGCTTTTGTTCTCCTGTGCTATTGAATCTTTGCTGTCTGCCCTGTCTTTCTCACACCCGAACAAGACTCCGCAGCCGAAATGTTGTGTTTTCTTTCTTCTTTTTTTCAGCATGGAATAAACCCATTACTTGTCCCTTTGCAGCCTACGCATGCTGACGCAGCTACCCACCTGAACTACCAATAACATTTAGGTTTAGTAATAACAGAAAAGTTTTTTTTTTTTAAGGTTTTAAGAAATGCAAGGAGCCTCAGTCACCTGAAGTTTGGATCCAGGATCTTGACGCTGAACACATAGATGCCACTCTGCACCTGAGACCAGGTGATGAAGTTGTTGCCACTTCTGTTGAGGATCTCATAGGGCTGGCTGAGCTCCCCCAGCACACCAGGGGTCACCTCAAAACAGCTCCTGTAGTTCTGGGGAGGAGAGGAATGCAGAGTGAGATGAAGTAGGGCCAGGGGGACTGCAGACCCCTGTCTCAGAGAGGGCGAAACTTTAAGAGCCAGTGAGAAGAGCAGTCTCACGCAGCCCAGGTGTGCCCAGGACAGAACAGTATTTTCCCTGATCATTATCCCTTCTTCCCAAGGCTTCAGGACGGCACAGGGCGCGGAAATGACTGAACATTTTAACCCTGATGCGTTCAACCCAACCCTTCGTTCCCTTACATGTGGTCCCCAGGCTTCTCCTGGTGTGCTTGATGAGAAACTCCCGTTTCCTGCCAGCATGGAGCTCCAAGTCTGTGCCTCACGAAGGCAGCCCACCTGCAGGACCAGGAAGACAGAGCTAAGAGCTCATGCAAACATGTTCGTTACTGCTGACCTCAGAACAAGCCCTACTCTGCTCTGGCCCAGGAACTGCCAAGGACATCTCCCTCTGGAGAAGACCTTTTTTAGAGACCAATGAAGGAAACGTGTGTACCTGCTACATTTCAGGTGGTGACTCATGGCATGCTCCTCTTTAATGAGGATATACTGGCATAAAACTCAGTGTTGTTAGCTTTGTTTTACTATACTAGATTTCACGCCATAACGGTGCGGCTCTGACCAATACGCACACAGTTTAGGTATAAATTGGTATTTATGAGTGTCAAAAGCTTCACTTTTCTCAATGAATCCAGACTCTGTCATTTTACAGGAAGTCTCGAGTGGGAATACAAGAAGTACCGTCTCCATGGAGGCATTGAAGGAGTAGTCTGTTCTGCCATTTTCTTCCCAGACTATGAAGTTGGCTTCAACACTTTTTAAAAAGGTGTCACCGTCATAGCTATAAGCAAAATAAATCAAATTGTTATCAAGGGAGTAAGGGACGATGGAGTCACCCCTAGAGGGCACAATGATGCAATTTAAAGACTACTAGGACTATAGACTTTAAAGACTGTAACAAGATCACTTAGGACCGGTATGTGAGTGTGGCTGGGACAGAACAGGGGAACCAGACTCGTTTAGTGTCTTCTGGCTTTTGTTCCAGCTGTGTCTCAGTTACAGTTGCTCAAAATATTTAATTAACTGAATAAATCCAATACAGTACTTCTAACTGGGCCCTAAGAGTTTTTAAGTTACCTGTACCTTTAACAAAGTGAATGTTTTTAAAGTAGTAAACTGCTCAGGAAACATGAAATATATATAAATAAGAAAATGATTAAGTGAACTGTCAGGTTGGAACGGAAAACAGAAGACTGTAGCAGGACGCAAGACTGATAACACAATGGAGGTCAATGGCAGGAATAGTGTGCGCCCGTCCGTTTCTCTACATTTCCACCCTGGCTGATGAGTGAAATTCTCTGTTGGCCATCCTCAGACAGGAGTCCTCCAGTCCAGTAGAAGATGGCTTGTGTCTTTTGTACTTTTATATTCTCTCGGCTTTCAGACTGTCCGAATTCCCAACTTACAGGTCTATGCCTGGCAGAAAAGGGGTTGCATAGTAGATCCTGAACAAACAGCCAAGGTATTCCCAGTCATAGTCAACCACCTGGAAAAATTAGAAGACACTAATCTTGACAACATCAACCCAGTGCACCTCTTCAGAACAACGTTGGAACATAAACAGGAGTCTGGAATACCCAACCCAGCTACGCAGATAAAGTCAAAACCCTGGGTCCTTGAAGGAAAGGGTGGCCAAGATCCTTGGATCAGTTAACTACTACTTTCAAAACCAAGTTGAAAAAGTTGTTTTTTGAAGCATGAGCCTTTTTTGATCAAATGGAACTCTTCCCTCTTCTATCCTTATTATCTATATCACCTTGTGGCTCTTCCAATCTGAACTATTGCAGTAATTTCATTCAACCAACTCCTTAATTCCTGTATTGATCCATCATGCTAATTATCAGCTGAGTAATAAAAGGAGATGTTTGCAGCAAAACTGTGTAATGGAGGGGATTGGGGTGTGAGTTAAGTAGCACTGCTTTTAGGATTCTTCAATCTTTTCCCTTCCAATATGTTTTTATATTTCTGAAAAATCATCATAATAATAACTATTAATGATTTATTTTAATAAATTAGGAAAACATGCCAACATTATGAAGTTTGTTTTTGTATTTTCTATACCAGAACCTATAGGATTTAATTCTGGCATCAGATTAATCTCAGACTTTTCAGCAATGACCTTCAATGATATGTTGACAGTGGAGATTCAAGAACTCTTTCACAACATGTTATTGTTTTTATTTAGATTCTATTTAGGGATTATTGTACTGTGAAACTGTGCGTCCTGGACCCCATCAAGACACAGCATCAATCTTACGAGATCCTGATCCTGTGGATTGCTCAGCACCGATCTGCAGAAAACACAGATGCATACAGTAGTTCAAACACCCAAGCAAGTGCACAGAGCTGATTGGTAATCATTCAAAAGAGCTCAGATGCCCATAACATGGAATTGTTACTCACCCAGGAATGCTGTAGTTTTTTAAATCAAGTTTTTCACAAAGAGTTCCCCATGGCCTGAGAAGAAAATTCAATAAATATGAGTTTTACCACTGTAGAGAGTGTGACACAGACTGAAGAATGAACTCCACTAGTTAAGAGCTTTTAAGTTGTCAAGGTCTGATCTTTACTGGAACTGTACACCATGAGGTGAATTACAAGGCCTTCACTGATTTTTGAGACCATTCATGGCTTGCTAACAGGCAGCACAAATTCGAGTGGCATACTGAAACTAATATATTTCACTTTTTCACAGACCATTGTGCTCTGTGCAGTAATCTACTGTACTATCAAGGGGCTGTTCAAGCAAGGAGAGCATATTTCAGGCTCGGGTCCTTGTTTAGCAAAAAAATAATTCTTAATTGCCGCAGCCAGCAGAGGAATCCTACTCTGTTGGGCCCCTGAGCAGGGCCCTTCACCCCAACTGCTCCAGGGGCGCCGTATAAATGGCTGACCCTGCGCTCTGACCCCAAGCTTCTCTCTCCCTGTCTGTGTGTCTCATGGAGAGCAAGCTGGGGTATTTGAAAAGACAAATTCCTAATCCAAGAAATTGTATATGGCTAATAAAGTGATCTTATCTTATCTTTGAGTATTTTATATACAAGTAGAAAATATGCAGAGCTCAATTAAAAAAAACTAACAAATCACTTACCTACTGATGCGTATGTGTCTTTTTGGAGGACAGCCAACTTTAATGTGTGATATCTGATAATGGAAAGGACTTTTAAAGCAGTGCACATGTGAATTCAGATGCAGTACCTCTGTCCTCTTGGAAGCGCTCAGTTCACAGAGGTAAGCTTTCATTTCACAGTCTAACTCTATAACTAATGTCTCTCAGTTTCACATGTCTGACAATTCAGTTTTACAGTTGTAAAACACACAATGAAACTATCAATTCATTAGTGCAATTTCTGCCCTGACACATACTGAAATATAACTTACCTCTGATTTCAAAACTAGGAACTTGAAAACCTTTTAATTTTTTTTACTTAACTTTCTAAAACTATTTATTTCTCTCTTCTGTTTCAGTGCAAAATCATTCCCCTCGTGGTACTCACCCGGTTGGAAGGCAGGTTGCAGGTGTTGCCTGGTAAATTTGGCACCACCTCCAGAGTGACAATGCCACTTGTTTGGCTTCTGAAACAAACACATAGAATTGTCCGCTAAGGATTTGTTTCTAGAGCCCTGACAGCATACAGCACTGGCAACTCACAGGCTTGATGGTAAACAGTGTCTGAATCCTGTGATCGCAGGTGTGCTGCTTGGAAGAACACCTGATGTGAAACCTTTAGAACAGCAGGAGTGAAAATGAGGAAAATATGGTGCTACGCTGCAGGTGTCTCTCGGGACAGACATGTTGAACTGCAGCTCTTCAGACTGATCAATGTGATTGTCTTTAAATCCCACTAAATTAAAGACTGCAACACAAGATTTTCAAAAGCAAACAAGGGACTGGCAGGAGAGTGCAAAATGGTTTGACATATAGAGCTACACAAGGCAGTTAGAATCTGACACTGGGGACATACCAGATGTGCATCTGAGCATGAGAAGGACTGTGCACATCTGTCTGCCAGATACAGTCACATCCATCGCTTCCTCTGGGGCAGTGAAGTGGGAATTTAGAATGGAGACCTAGCTTGAGCCAGCGCCCTTGTAGGGTTTTAGCTAAATTTGTGTTTATAGCAACAGAGCAGAGGTAAAAAAAGGACACAAAAGAGAAAAGACTTGCACTTCTTCTCTGTAGTTCTCTGATTTGCTGTAGTCCCGCCAATGGTACAGTTTAATTGTCTGAGGGAACAATAAATACATAAAAAGTACACTGTCATTGCAGAACAATCAAGAAGAAAAGTGCATCAGGTAGCAATTTAGATAAATACAAATACGAAACATAAGTAATTAAATAATGGATAGGTGTTTTGCATAATCACCCAGAATAATAAATGCCTCTTATAATGCTACTGCAACTACTCATGATAATATTGTCAAAAATGTTATGGTTATCACTCATACTTCATTTTGCAAGTTTCAAGAGCTACTCAAAGCCTCCACTAGTGTTTGCTACTATTATTGCAATTTTGAGTGTTACTGATGCATCTTACAGTGAGAAGAAACCCAGCTTGTCATTGAGTATTCTGTAGTTCACCCTGAGAAGAATCTTCAAAAGCTTTATCACTACTATTCAAGGAAAACTCTACACGTGCAACTAATTAAAAGTGTTGGTCTAGCTAATCCATCACATTTACCAATCAAACTAAACTGACACATTGTCTTGTGTTCCTTGTGATTAATATTTGTGTTCTTCACTATTATAAATCTAAAAAGCGATTTTTCGGTCACAAAATGACAGTTCGATCAACTGTTAACTTCAATGAACTGGCTAAAACTCCATTAGGAGATCCCTTCATAATTGTTTTCCACATGAAAAAGATAAAACTGGGTGATAGTGGAGTGCTACAGGGATCTGTACTAGACCCACTGATTTATATCAATGCCAGAATAGTTAGTAAACTGATCAAATTTGCAGGTGATACTCAATTCAGAGGATTAGCAAACACTGAAGAAGCAGTAAACAAAACCCAGAAAGATTTAGAAATGAAGACAGAACAAACACCTGGCGGATGTTTTATCACGAAGTGAAAGGAGTAGGACAATGAAAGTGTTGGTCGCTGTGCTTTTACCGTGTTCTTTGTGCAGACTTGACTGGCTATCTCGAAGCGTGTTCGGGTGGCTACGTGCAGCAGGTCCAGCCTGTGCCCGGAGATCTGTATGTTCACACCCATGTTTTCGGGGTAGACGATCTGAGCCCACAGCTCCATCTGCTCCCCCATGTCCAGGTAATAGGCTGGGATGTCCATGCTGTGCTGGAAGGTGAAGTAGGTGCATGTGTGGGCTGTGCCCAGCACCGCGCTCTTCACCTCCATGCTGAGAGGGTACCTGTGGACCTCAATGGCCGACTCCACCTGCCTCAGCACTTTCATCTGGCCCTTCGGCCCGAGGTAGAGGGCCATGTTGGTGCCGGGCCGCTCCCACATGTGCAGCCTGACCAGCTCGTCCATGCCCACCTTGCAGAAATACAGGGCGTTGTTCTCCATCTTCACCACCACGTTCCAGGACAGATCTGCAGGGAGGGAGCAAGCGAAAGGGATCAATGAGTGCGCATCACGACTAGACAAAAGAGAACTCCCCTGGACTCCCTATTCAGGGCCTCCTGTTCTCTGGCCTGGTAAGCCCTGCTGCTGAAGTGGCACACTTAACCCAACATGACTTGGTGGATGCTGCTGCCGCCAGACTCCGCCGTGAGGTTTGCTGAGCGGGGGGTGCGAAGGAGGCCGTACTCGCTGTTGTTTCGGGAGCTGTAATAGAGGGCCTCCTTGTTCCAGAGCAGCACGGAGGGCAGGGCGGACTGGACGAACCTCAGGCGGAAGGGGCCTTGCGACAGGGAGCCCGGCTTCAGCTTTGCCAGAAAGGCGCTCTGGAACCAGGAGCCTGCCTCCTCGTCGTAGAGGACGAGGAACAGCCTGGCATCAGAGGAGTCGTGCGCGCCACAGGCCTCCACCAGCACGCCAACCTCAGGAGGGCGGGACCCAAAAGCTACAGCGGGAATGGTGACGTTACAGGAAGAGGGAAGGCGCAAGATTTGGGCCAAGAGGGCTCGGTCCGCCTTCTTGTAAAAAGTCGATTTGCCCAGATACAACTGGTCTTCTGTCCACACTGCGATGATGCTTAGTTCTATGTCCTGGAAGAAAAGAAAAACAGCATTTTTTTATCCGCTACGAAAACAAGCAGTAATAACCCATCATTGTGCACACTGTCGATGTGCAGTGTTGCTTTAAGCTTCAACTTTTATTTCTTTGACTTGGAAAAGCTGGTATTAAGGCAAGAAAACCGTAGAAAGTCTGATCCCTTACAAATGACAAAGAAAATTGTTTCATTTTGTATTTTATCACGTGGGACTGTGTTGTACAGTCTGTCTGAAAGCTGTAAGAACACTAGGGAATAACATATAATTAGGAAATAATGTTAGAAAACCAAAAAATGTAGGGAACTGAATGATCAAAAAGAAAGAAATGCAGTTGTAATAAGTTGCCGAAGAGTGATGCTCTCCTCACCCGAAGCGGATAACTCTGCCAGCAGGTAGGCCTGTACTGCAGCCCCCGCACTCCGCTGCTGGGCAGGTCTTCCTCCCTCTTCCTCAGCAGCCTGTCGTAGCTCCTCCAGTACACGGAGCCGTCCATGAGGAAGAGGATGCTGCCCTCCACGATGACCGCGTCTGTCAAGGTGAAGTGCCCCTCGGCAGGGGCAGCCAGCAGGTGGGGGGCAACCAGGATCTCCGCCAGGGTGCCGAAGGCGTCGTGGGTGATGAAGGTGCCGAAGTCCGAGAGGAGCAGCGCGGTGCTCAGGGAGCAGCTCTCCCAGGCCACCGAGAGCTGGCTGCCCCGAGGCAGGCGCAGGGGCACCTCCCGGCCCCCAGGGGGCAGCAGGGGTTCCACGTCGTGGAAGGTGTGGTAGCCGGAGGCGATGAAGCAGTTCTGATAGCCCACCGCCTTCCCCTCAATCCAGAAGTTCGGCAAACTTTGCACCTCGTTGTCTGTGAGGTGGATTTCCCAGTACCTGCAGCAGTCGAGAGAAGTCCCGCACATGATCTCTCACTTTTACATCTCTAAAAGTCAAAAGTGAATGTGACTTGTTTTTACCGGTATTGTACTATATTTGCCCTTTCCAACTTCTAATTAAATGTCAGGTTTTGGCCCAGAACTTTAACCCAGATATGAGCAAAGAATTTTCTTTGTCTCTAGCAGTGTATCAACATTTACCAATTATGGTTTATTATGGTATTATGGTTTATTATGGTACCAATTACCAATCATGGCCTCCTAATAATCCCCATTTATGAATTGGCTTCATTACTCTGTTCTCCTCCCCACTGATAGCTGGTGTGTGGTGAGCGTTCTGGTGCACTATGGCTGCCGTCGCATCATCCAGGTGGGGCTGCACACTGGTGGTGGTGGAGGGGATCCCCATTACCTGTAAAGCGCTTTGAGCGGAGTTTCCAGAAAAGCGCTATATATGTGTAAGCAATTATTTATTATTATTAATTTGGCATGACTGACTTTGGCATGTCCAAGCAGCTTTCAAACCCCAGAGGGAAACGTTTAGCTCATTTGGGTGGTGTGTGATCTCACTGGCTGCCTGCTCAGCAGTGGCAGCAATAACTAATTTACTACAGTACCTACCCCTTTACAAAGTTAAAATCCCCTTGGACTGACTTTGTTGGAGACCATTTAATTATAGGATCCTGCCCCAGGGTGAAGAACTGCTTACTGATGAAGGAAGATTGCTGCAAGATGAGAAAGAAATTCATAGTCCCCAAGCCCAAAGAATTCACTGCTGCTTCCCTTAAATAAGAGCATCATGAAAAACTAATTTCAAAGAAACATTAAAATGAATTTTCACGGAATGTAACAATGTTTCCTGGGGAAATATTAACTTGATAACCTACCATGTTTTCTGTTTGAGATCTTTGAATAAACTGCAGCAGCAATAGAATAGAATATAGTGCATATAATATTTAGATTTCAGAAGGCTTTTAGTAAAGTTCTTCATAAAGAGTTCTCAAATAACAGGTAGCAGGAATTCTGGTTAATGCACATATTTTGGATTAAGAATGAATTCCTAATTCATGGATGGATAATAAAGCACAGTTAAGGAGTGAATGTTCAAAATGGGGTGTACCACAGGGACCGGTTCAGGTCCACTGTTGTGTTCAGTTCTGCCACTGTAAACTAAATCAGTCAGGTTTGCAGCTGACATCAAATTAGGAGGATTATCAAACACTGTAGAAGCTGCAAGGGAAACTCAAATATACTTAAGACTAAATTCCAGACTTGGCAAACACCCCGCAGTTAACACAGAGACTGCAGAGTGTTACATGCAGATAGCTACAACTATAAATATAAAATGGGAAACACTGAGTTTGAAGTAGCAACTCATAAAAAAGTCTTAGGAATTTTTTCATCTTTAAGACACAGTAAAGACTTTGCTTACTACTGAGGGGGAAAGTGCTGTCTGATTGATTTCAGCAGGATCGGCATTCTCGGGATCCATCACCCACACTCTCAGTATCTAAACAAGAAAACATTCAAGACTCGTTAAAGCCATGACAACTCTTTCTTACCTGCATCCCCTGCATGAATACCAGCCTATACCACCTCCCATGGCAGGATGTCATTCAAGGCATACAGGCCACACCCATCGCTCCTTTCCCTTTGCCAGTGATGACAGTGAATGGGGCATTGCTTATGTCTGGCAATTTTAGAAAGACTTAGTTCTTCGTTACAAATAATGAGGCCGAGGAAGAGCAGGACTAGACCAGAGCGCAGAGAAGGAAGTGTTTATGGCAGCACTGGATAACTCATCCTCATCCAACATGTCATCAGAGAGCAGTTTTCAGATCTAGAGGTAGACCCAGGCGTGCTGAGAAGGACAGGAAGGCTTTGGCATCTATGACACCACGAAAAGAGAGCACCAGGCCTACGATGAAGCATGCTGAAAAACAGCAGAACTATTTTTCATTCATTTATAGTTTTAATGGGTTAACTTGTATGTCTTAATAATTCTGTCTATTAAGTAGGTCTTCATGCCATCCAGATTACATGAACATTGTGGCATGAACTGGAGGCACAGATCACTGAATGAAAAGGCATTCTTTGCAGAATTTTGACATGGATTTTATTTACCCCCTTTCTACAAATAATAATTACATGAATTATTCACCTATTCAAGCACATATATGGACCTGTTTAAACATTTTGGCATTTTTTATGTTACTTATATAACTTCAGCTCAGTTTGTAGTGACATGTGCAGCGATGGAATGTACAGGTTTGTTAAGTGGTTTGTATCCTTTCTCTTTTAATTGCGGGATGCAAAATCTGCTACAATTGTTATAAATAAGGTCTTGAAGAGATCCTGTTGAGTCAGTTTTCTTACCTGCATTTGTGTTGCTTTTTCTGAGCTGTTACAAGATAAAGACAAGCATTTAGGATCATGAAGGCAACCAGAAGCATCACAATTTACTTTGTGTGTTTTAGACCAAACAGGCTACAGCTGGCGTTCCACCAGGCTTCTGTATCTGGTCATCTTCATCCACCACCAATGTGTCAACAACTGAGGAAACGACCACCTACCTGCTGTCTGGCGCCTTTGCTACATACCATGAAAAACAAAAAAAGGAGTCCCCGATGTGAAGGTGCCTTTCCTCTTCCTCAAAAGCCTGGATTTGTAACAAACTCTATTATAAACCTTTGTTTAAGAATGTTTCAGACTGTTTAAATAAGTAACTGCTTGACTATGCACACAGGATACTCCATGCCTTATCTGTGATGAGCCACGACGCTAATCTAAACGTGTTTATTAAACTTATCTTAGCTCTGATGTATTTGTTACCAGCATAAGAAAACTTCCAGCATAATTAAACATAATCATTAAACATAATGTTTAATACTGTAATAGCAAAATAATCTTGCAAAATTTACTCAATCTGTATTAGTAACAACTAATACTTACATTTTCAGAGACTAATGGTTTAACCTTATGGTATCCAGCAATCCTGCATGTCAGGACTGCTTTGGGAGAGCTGCAGAAAGAAATTAACAATATCTCATTCATCGTTTTACACATTCAAATTAGCTGAAAGGGAGATTAAATTGATTGTTTTACATCTCTGTTGGAAACTGTGCTCCCTGTCTGTACATAAAATGGTTATAAATGATCAAAGGTGAATGATCTAGCAGTAGATGTTAAAAGTAGAGAAAGACGAATGTGTACTTAAACATTTTTTGAAAAGTATTTGAGGTTAGAAAAAGTGTGGTGTATATTTTGTGGCAGAGCAATATGTTTGAAAATCGTTCTGTTCCTGCATTGGTGTGCACTGGTTCCTGTATTTGGTGTCTTAATAATCTTTAGTTTACAGTATATTAAATGACCCTGATGGCAAAGCACATCCAAACACATCCAAGCTGCCTGGTCACATTTGCAAAGAGAAACATCAAGCAGCAAACGAATGAATATTTGCACAAAGTGAAAAGATCAAACATCTATCCTTTCTTACTGTGTTTTTAATACCTCTGAACAACCCCTCTAATTAATTAGTTACACACTAGACAAGCAAATTACACCTATTTCAGTCACACATAAAGAAAAGACAGCAGTTGCATTAAATGTTTTAAAACTAAAAGTATTCCCAAATAGCAAAGTGGGGTTTTTTCTCAAGGCCCGAAGATTCAGTAGCCCATATTATCCCAGTGTGAGCAACTGCCCTAAGAGCAGCAGGACTCTCTAATCAGTGCCACACCCTAGAATAGTTTCAATTGTTGAACTGATCTGTTTCCCTTAGTTGTCTTGCTGCTGTGCATGTAAGGTAAAACTGTCTGGTGGAAGCTGGCAGGTGCTTGCTGTGCTACAGATACAAAGGATATTCAGAGTTAGTCAAAATGTTGTCGACAAGTATAAATGGCAGTTAATTTACTAAAGTTTTGTTTTCTCCTCCACAGATGGTGCTGCAGTCGCACAGTCTCCACAATGACATCACCTGTGGAGAAATCATTTTGTCCTGTTATCACGAGACCCATGTAATTAATTTGTAATAAAGTGTCAAAGTTGTCGACAGCATTTTGACTAACCCTGTATATGTGCTAAATACCCCCAGCAGCACCTAGGCAATAAAATCAAACAGCCAAGCAGAGTTAAGGCTTACTTCTTATTGTCCACTTCACAGAATTCTGGGTAGCTCCACTCTGTGAAGGAGGATCCCTCATACTCTAGAAGAATCTGGACATTGCAGATCCAGGTTACATGCTATCACATACACTGTATATTAACATTATAACATAATATTAACTGTATATTATGTGATTTCTACCATAAGTCTTTGAACACCTGCGGGACTGATTTTCAAAGCTTCTTACTCATTTTTTCCAAACTACCGCTAAATCAAAATATGATTTATGTGACTAAAATCAAGTTCAGTCCCACATAATGGGTATTCGGAAACCCCAAATCATTAAGATATCAAAACCGTCTGACATAAAGTATTAACTCTGAAACAAACCATGAATTTTTCTACATGTTAAGTAGCGTCCTTCACTGATGGGCTGAATGAATTGAAAAGGCTTTTAGTCTTGGGTGGGTTTCAAGATTGGCCAGGCAAACAGGAAAACGCCAGAAGTCACTGCTGTCACAACTACAAAGGATTTAGCGTCCATGAGTCAAATATCATGCAGTACTGTACCGTAATGTGGGACAAGTTTTTTTGAGTTGGTGTATAGATCTTGAAATTGCATCAGAAATGTACCCTAGACTCAAATAAGAATATATTGTATACTTAAACATAAACTGTATATTGAAGATACTGCTGCTGTGGAAGTACAGAGAACAGCAACCAGATACATTCCAGGGATTGAAAGAAGTTATCCTCCACCGACAGGCTGAACCCTTTGTTTTGAACAGAGTACAATGGAGACAAGTATTCGAAACCCTCAAAGGCACTGAGAAAGTCAAGCCAGCGGATTTATTCAGAATGCACAGACACAGTGAAAATATTCAGATGAACAGCAACAGTGAAATAACCCAGGGACACGAGTGAAAACTTCATGGAAGTGCATTTAAAACTGAGAACGGGAGGCACGTCTTTACACAAGGAGTTGTGGGTGTCTGGAACAGGCTGCCCAGCAGATACCCTTCAGCTGGATGAGGTCCTGGGATCAATTAGCTACTGGCCACCAAACGGGCTGGACGGGCCTCCTCTCATCTGTAACCTTCATGTTCTTGGGTTCATTATACGACAGATTTTTCACTTCTCACTTTACAATATTTGATGTAGAAATCACTGAAGAATATCCATATCGTACAACGACTGTATAGGGAGCAGGGCTTAAGATACAGTATAGGCTGGTGTGACGACTCATAGCGTAATACCACATACTCACAGAGGCTTTGGTTATGAATAAAAGTTCATCATCCATGATATTTCTGTATCTACATAGAAAGAAAACACTGAAGCAATAAATTTGTTACAAACGAGCCATTTTGCACGTTGCTACTCTCATTTAAAATATCCCAAAACCTTAATATGCCACAAAATCCCTAGGTTATTTAAAATACAATTAAATAAATTCAAAAAAAAGATGGAGAAGTTATTGATGTATTCCTACGTCATTATCAGGTTGTGGGCCCTCCGTTTAAACTGCCTCACCTCCACACCTCCAGGCTGAACTCGACATTCAAAAGCAACACCGCGGAGACCATTAGAATCGTTGGCTTCCCCATCGTCTACAAGACAAAGGAAGGCTTAACTGACAGAAGAAAATTAATATTTTCTTTCTTTTCGGGTGTTAAACGTGCACGCCGCTTGCTCCCTGCCCCGGGGGGAAACTCGCTCTCCCGCTCCCTTCCCGCGCGAGGGCGCTCCTGCCCGCCGCTGTTGCCACGACAACGGCCAGGCCCGCAGCCTTGACGGCCGTCTCACAAGTGGACCCCAGCTCGGACCTTTCTCAACATCTTCATCTCTCGCATCCTAACTGAAACTGAAGGGAGCAGTTCTGTCAGCTCCCAGTATGTGTGGGCGCCTGTGACTGCGACTCAGATCGCCAGATCGCGGCGAGGTTCGGGCATGTACGCGCGGTTTTCTGGCGTTTTTGCGGCAGCGACATCAATCGACGCTCAAACAGTCGGTCATTTAATCCAGACTCCTTTCTGCCGCTGCACAGCACAAAGAAACGGCAGCAAAAACCCGAAACAAACAGGAGGGCGCGATTCCGTCGATACCGGGGTGTGCCAGTGGGGGGCGCCACGCAGGCGCTCTTCCCGCGCGCTCCCGAGCGGGCGCGCGTGCGCGTGCGCGAGCGACACTGCCGCACAGCCTCGCTGCCGGGAGACGGAGACCGAGACGGAGACAGACGGGCGGGCGGGCATGTCGGACGGCGGGAGCGCAGACTCGGCGGGGGCTCGGAACGGAGCCGGTACCGGCGTGGTGAACCGGGGCGTCGGCAACCAAGTGACGGTGGTGCTGGGCGCCCAGTGGGGCGACGAGGGCAAGGGCAAGGTGGTGGACCTGCTGGCCCAGGACGCGGATATCGTCTGCCGATGTCAGGTGAGGGGTAGTGTGCGCAGAGCCGGAGCTCCCGGCCGCAGCCAGGAAGGGCGAGCCGGGCAGGGTGCAGCCCCGTCCGGCTTCCCCGCTCCCCGGCACGGCGGCTGCGGGAACAGCAATGCGGTGTGGCTGCGCTCCATCGGAAGGTCACGGCGTGCCATGAGTTAGGGAAACGCCAGGCGAGCGCAGCTTGATTGCTAATGTCACCTTGGGCTCGCCGCTTCGGGCTTGACTCGACGCTTGTTTCCGTGTTTGTGTTTGTGTTTGTTTACTGGACCGGCGGTGTGTTGCGGCGCGCAGCTTCAACGGCGCAACATCACGTCGCAGCACAGAAGACGAGTGTCGCCTCGTCCAGCTCGCTGCGGAGCGGGGCTGTCGGGCCAGCGGAGCCGGTCTGGCGCGAATGCAGGGCGCAGCTCGCCGAGTCCTGTACCGGGGAGCGGAGTTGGGTCTTGCGTGCAGTGGGCATACCTGAACGGGCCCGCTAGAAGTGCTGTGAAATCTTCCCCATTGGCGTGCTGGTGGTGTCAGGTTGTGTTTGACTCTCACACCGGGCTGGCACGCGTGTCGTCTGGGAGATCGTTTTTTTGCGTCGATGCTGCTAAGGATTAACTAAACCTACCGGTTTTCCTTTTTTTTTTTGTAATTCTCCCATTAACATGACTCGTCTTTAACCTTAAGTACAATGTACTTAATTAACTTTCTCTCAGGGAGTCAAAAACTCTTGACTTGAGTGGCGTCAGACCATTGTAGCATTTATGTCCTGAAGTGAGCGTTTTGGATAAAAAAAAAATGTTCCACGTTTTTCGTAACTGAAGAGGACTGTGACCAGTTTGAGGTTTCTTGTTAAGGCTTCTCTTCACGGCAAGAAAAATCTTCCCTTGAAAGTTATTAGTGCAAAGGTCGTGATTCAACTAGGGAAGGTCATGTTTAACACACTTACTGGAATTCTTTCAACACGCAGCGAGGACAATTGATAACACTAAAGCAACATGGCGTGTTTAAATTTTCATGACATTCATAAAGGTCTTTTACAAAATATTAATCCTCAAATTAAAAGCATAGGACCTCAAGGTAACTGGTTAACTATCAGGAAACAGTACCTCAAAGGAGACATCCTTGAACTCAAAAACATGTCTAACGGAGTGACATTAATCTCGCACATCAAATCTTAGATGACCCGTCTTATCCACTCTTTTTAGAAAAATAAATTATTTGCATTTAGGTATCTTCTTATCATCATTGTGTTTAGACCCTATATAAGCTAACTGCCTGTTTAATACTGGATGAGCTCTGTTAAATGTTTGTACTGTTTTTGTATTATTGTGGTATATGTTATATGTTTATGAGGTCTTGATGTGCTAGATAAATTCAGTTAGGAGTGATAAAGGTTAGTTTAATTCAAATATAGTATAGTCTAACCTCTTTCTGGGATCTAAGACCGAAGCAGTGGTATGCTGCAGGATTCCAAATTAGGCCCCTAGCTCTTCCAAAAAATTCACATCTCTACTGAGTGTTAGACTTGCAGATGATATAAAAGTGAGCCACACACAACCAGCAGCAAAACCGCTACAAAAAAAGATGTAGACAGAGCTATGGATTGGATCAGCACACAACCAAAGCAGTTTGCAGTAGTACAGTATCTAAGTGCGCAGGGATTCCCACTGGCAATAGGAACACTGTCGGAAGTTGCACACGAAAGGGCTCTGGGTTTTTTGTCGACTCTTCTATTTAGACAATGTGGGGAAGCAGTCAAAAAGTGAACAGAAAACCCTGGTATAGAATAAAATGTGGTGTTTTACAATGTGGTCATGAAAAGACCTCACTTGGGAAGTTGTTTGGATTTAGTCACCACAATCCAAAAAGGATATCACAGCCTTGGAAAGAGTTCAGAGAAGAGCAGCATGAATGATTGCTTGTGTCAGGGCATTGTTCTATGCATACAGGTTAAATAACCTCTGTCTAGAATAAAGGAGATTGAGAGGTGATTTGGTCTAGGTCCTGTATTTCAGATTCTAAGGGATCCATATTGAGACAGCACACAGGCCTGTGTCAGGATCAGGACTGACACAAGGAGCTCAGACTGTGGGCTCGTCCAGGAAGAGCCTGCTGATTTGCTTCAACGCTGAGTTACCAAATGAGTCAGACGTTGTTAAATGGCTTCCTCTTGTTTGCAATATTTCCCAAGTACTGTGTGGCACAAAGAGTTTTACTCGCTTTGGAACCAAACCTACATCAAAACGAAAAGAAGCTTGTGTTTGAAATGCCCAGGGAAGTTGGTAACGTTTCCTGTACCAGAGGGCACCCCAATGGTCTAGTCTTATCTGTCGTGTTAAACAAAGTTGTCGCAATTGGGTGGTAATCCATTTCTCTCTGTTGTGCAGAGCCCGCCACTTTATTTTGGTGAATTTGGAGAATTTCCCGAGATTGCAGGAACTGAGCTGCACTGGGGGTGGGGCTGTGCTTGTATTTCGGGTGGGACTTATTTTACAGACCAGTTGCTGGTGGGGATGTGGGTGCTAATCACAGGACTAAAATGTTGGTGGTTTTGTGACATGTTCCATCTCCGGATCTTTAGGATTCCCAAGGGCATTAATATCCCACAGTACTTCAAAAGAGCCTGAGTAGCCTTTTGGAAAAGGAGGGGATGTTAATTTCAGGGGGTTACCACTTAACCATACTAACATGAGAACACTGTTGTTTTAGACTGTCCACGTCTTTGTTGTTACACGCTTACTGTGTCAATACAATAAAGGCTAGAGTGGGCATGAGCTACAGCTCACAACTAGTCCCTGTGCACTTTCTGCTTCTCATGTGCTTTAGGGTGAAACAGGTGCTGGTTTGTTTGTATGCAAAGTGAAACTCTTTAAGATCATTTTATTGTCCATCACCGCTATGTCTTGTCCCAAGCAGTTTTTGTTTTGTTAATTTGCAGAACCAGAAACAAATTGAAGCTAAGGACATCAAAAAACATTTCTTTGCAAAGCAGCGTGCTGCGACATTTGATCATTTGCAAGGCTTGAGTGGACTTCATTTCCCTCAGAAGCGAGAGACTGAAATTGAAATAGGAAATGGAAGCAGGCGATAAGTCTCCTGGTTCAGCTTTCTTTTTTTGCAGAGAAGTGTGGAGAGACTGGATGGGGAGAGATGCACATGTCCTCTGGTGCTTGCTTCTTTGTGAATCGGCAGGAGTCTTGATAGGGGGTTGCAGGTATAAAGGCAGACTGAGTTTTCTTTAACCATATGTGAGCCCCATAGCCAGGAAGGGCACCTGCCTTACTGTATTCACTTATCACATGCACATTGTTGGTTTTATTTCAGCCAGTCTGTCCCTCTGCCATAAATTAAGCAGTGCATCATGTAGTACAATAAAACAAGAAAAGCAGTTTGTTGTAGTTCAGGAGTTATGAGGTGCAAGCTCTTTTCCGGCACCCTGTTTTAAAACAGTTCAGTTCAGTATCCTGCACACTTGGTTGACATTGTGGTTTATTGTAACAGTTTGTACAGACATGCAGCTCAGAAATCCTGCAGTGCACAGTGGATGCCTGCTGCCTATAAGAATAGTTATCCCTTCAGATGTCACTTGTCTGTAAAAAAGTGGCTGATGGCATGCTCGCTCACATTTCAAACGTGAAGCTTGGGCGCAGTAGACTGACCAAATTAGCCTAGTCGTCTTTAAAATAACATCGAATAAATGCAGGCCTTCCGTCGTTCACCACAGTCCGATGACACACAGGTGTGTTTGCCATAATTATATATTCTCAGGAGTCATTTGATTCATTCCACCTGATAAAGTACGAGCTTCAGTTTCATGAGACTAACCTTTGTTTTATACGTGAAAGGGACTCTCTTGCACCCTTGGTGATAAGAAACATCTATGAAATTAAACATCCACTGAATTAATGCAGACTTAAATAGCCGCAGCTGAATTTTGGATTTGACAGCACCCGCACTTAAGTAACATTGGAAATAAATGGGATCCAGGTTGGCAGTTGCAGCCCTTCCTATGCTGTTAGCCTTTGAAGAGCCCCCTTCCGCCCAGTGACACTTGTGAACTTAGATTCGTTAACCTCTGGTCAGCCCGGCCTTCCTCGATCAGCTGCACAGCTGTGGGGGGGGGGTTCTCTTCCGATCTGTGATCAGCTTACAGTGCTGCGCCCCCCACCAGCTGCCCGTGTCTCCCTGCTGTGGCGCGTTGCGAAGGACAAGTGCTCCTGTCAGGCAGGCGGGCCGTGACGCTGCGGCCGTGCTGTTCTGTGCAGGGCCAGCGGGCGGCGCTGTCATTGCAGAGGGCAGTACAGGTTTGTCCCCAGAGCTGTACCAAATAGTTAAGAGGCAATTAAACAATAAGACTGCACTATTTTTTATTTCAGTAAAATTGAATAATTTGGGCAGCTAAATAATCTACCCGGCCACCCACAAGCCTTATTGCTGTCAGAGGACTGCTGGATTCTCGGTGTCATCACTGCAACGTAACTTGCTGTATCAAGGCCTGCTTAGAGACTTTTGAGACATTTTCAGTTTGGCTCTACCATGATTTTCCTCTGAACCAAGCATCTTTCTTCTAGGAGTTAAAAAGGTTGTTTTTTTCACTTTATTTTTGTGCGTTTCAGTGGGGGTTTATAGATTTCAGAAGTTTCCTGCAGTAGCTGTGTTTCCCTCAGAGTGTTTGCAGGTGCGTGACTGTGGCTGTATTCCTGTTATACACAAGCTTAAGCCGCCGCCACCTCTTTGCCTGCTACAGCAGAATAGGAGAAACATAAGCATGTTGCTGAAGAAAGTTCAGGCTCACCTTAGCTGTGGAAAATAGAGAATGGAGAGCTCTGTCGTCTTTTAATAGATGATTCCAGCTAAAATATCTAGTGAACAAAATCGTTGCAGTCTTGGGAGGGAAGAGGTGTGAAATTGCGTTGCGAACTGTTGCTTAGCATGAGTCACGTCGTGAAGGACTCTTCGGGAATCTCACCACCAACCCGTCAGGCGATGCACGTCGTTCTGTTGCTCAGTCTTTCCACTGAGCAGTGGTGCGTGATATGCACTGACAGAAATGGATCAGGGCTGTTTGGCCTGTTCCAGTGTACATTAACATTAACAGTTAAGGTTTCAAACTCCAGCCTTTTTTTCCTCTTTGATTTTGCTCTGTGATCCCTCATTCCTCACTCGCCCGTCTGATCTCCAACAGGCCCCTGTGCCTGCAGCTTCAGCCTTGTCTGACTCAAGGTCTGTATTAGCACACAGTCTATTTTTAACACTGTCAGAGCCCTGTCTTCAGCGCGTATATTGATTGTAGTCTGCTAGCATTCGAGCAATTCCACTATTACATAACAAAAAGATTACTGCACAGCTTGAGTAATTCCCTCTCTTAGTCAACTTATACATGTGACAAAGCACACAGTGTTATCAGTGCTTGAGAAATCAAACATGCTGAAGTAAGTCTGCCCAGCTAAATCCAGCCATCCTCGATAAATACACCTCTCTCATCATAACAGTAATCGTAAATGTCAGGTGAGGTGTATAAGTAAAGAAGTACAGAAGTTTCATCCAGAATCTAGTTCTTCCAGGTGTAAGAAGGTTCTGTATTTCTGGAGATATTGTGCTCTCAGATGTCACCGTTGGCACCCCAAGCCTTTGAGGTGTGGTCTGTCTTTGCAAACAGGCTGTTAGTCTGTCATGGTGTTAGTTGTGAAAGCATGTCAGTTCAATCCCATTTATTTTTATATCTCAAGTACTGAATTGAATTGAAAGCATGTTTCACATAGTGGTGGTTTTTGCTTTAATATCTTTAGCCATCTGTGTTCTGAAAATCATATTGCATTGAATTAATTTCCCTTGTTAATCCTCGTGCTTCAGAGTATATTTTGGAAGTTATGTTCTCCTTTATTTACTGAATATTATTCATACCTGTGTTTTCATTGCCAATAGCAACCAATAAATTCACTCTTAGACTTTATAATGAATAACGTATTTAACATACGTTATTTATTGGTGATATTAAAACTACGTATGAATTTTAAATTATTTTGTTGTATGATTCATATGATTATTGTGTTAGTTTCCTTGCTGTGAGTGATTTCATTTTTAGTCTTAAAGAACGAGCCATAATTTTATTACTGTTAATACAGCATACAGGCAACAGGTGAGGCTGGAGAAGGTGATGTAGGCAGAGGGTGGCGAGAGAGTGTGGTGCTCATGGGGCTAGAGATGGCTCGTTGTTGAAGCTGATACCCTGCCTTCCTTCAGAAAAAGGTCTTGTTGAGATTAAAAGAGATGCACAAACCAAAGGGTCTTCTCTTCTTCATAATTGTTCTTATTGCCAGACAGCCATTAAATAAGTGATAACGATAAGAGAAGACCATTTGGTTCACCCTGAGTGAAATCCCTAAACTGAAACTGAGATGTAGTTATTTAACAGGGTTGTTCCTCAGCTGTTGGAAGAAAATGAAAGTTGTGTTGTTGTAAATTCTTTGCTCAGAGCTTCAATGCTGTCCTGGCTTATTAAATGTCATGCTAGATTATTTTAAATTAAATTAGGGTGATCAACATGATTAAGCCACTTTGAAATCAAAGCAAACTCTGGAATTTGTGTTAGTGGTTTGAAATATTGCACACTGGGACATATAGGCACGCTGAGTGCTCTTTCCCCAAAGCATTTGGCCTTTGCTGTGTTACTAGATATTATTGTGCAATTAGTAACATTATTTTCATAAGGATCTGTTCTCTGTGCAATTGCTTATTTGTAGTAACTGAATCTATTTGAAGCAAAGGGTAAGCATCTTGTGGTTGGGTAAGGATGCAACCATGGGGATTAAGTGGCTGGGGATCTCTTGACTCCCAACAAAACAGGGACCTCTGTAGCCACCTGGGCGCCTACTGGCTTGAGATGACATCATTGAGGGACATGCCTCCCCTCCAATCGGTGATGCTCCTCCTGTCCGTCTCTGCAGAGCCTGTAATGTCAAGTGAGCGGCTCTGTTGGAGGGCGGGCCAGAAGAGCCTGGTAACCATCTTTTGTCTGAGAGCTGAGACATGAAGATGCACATGCCAATTGAAATTGGGTGGGTTATCTTGTATAATATAAACATTTTAATTTTAGATTTTAATTAAAGGATGCTTGAGCCTCAGATCACTGTCCTTAACATCAACAACAAACAAGCTGGGTATATACATTATACTCGGATGTGCTTGGGTGCTGTTCAGTGGCTTATTTTGATTCTGTGTGCATTCTGTGAGCAGACTGGAGGAGTGTCTGAAATCCAGCACGTTTGTCTGCAAGCGCAGTGTGCAAGGCTGAAGAAGAACAATAGTACTGAGGGTGATGTGAAGTGAGACATCTCGTCCTGTTCTCTGTGCTTTGAGCTAGTTTTACTCTTGTCAGAGCAAATTAGACAGGAATTTGGGAAGGTTTGCACTTCAGTCCCTGCCTGGCACATATTATCAAGCACTGATTTTCACACAGAACAACCCAAGCTGAGATTCAGATTTTCAGTTTTAGGACTTAATTTTATGCAACATTTAAAAAAAGGTGCAAGGGTACAGAAGGAATTGGGAAGCATTTAAAAAGGCATATAAAATATGGGATTTATAGCTTAAAGCATTTTATGATGTCAAAATAGTATAATGAACTAGTAAGGCCTCCTTTAGAATATTGTGTCCAATTTTGGTCACCATGTTATAGAAAATATATTGTTCATCCAGAGGAGAACAACCAGGTACACTTGAGATCTAAAGGTAATTTCCCACACTCACTGCAGGTGAGATTTAACTTTGTTCTGGTGCATAGCTCTTTTAAGCAGCAGTACATTGCACTCATGAGTGTCTTCTGCTGAAGTCAATATCTCTGTCCAACAGCTGTCTGTGATCACAGGGTCCTCTGTCATACCATCCTTAAGAACATCAAGCACTTCTGAATGCGAGGAGATAATGTAATTCAGCTGAGCTTCATCAATTTGGGGTGTTGTAGCTAAACAATCCTAGAACATCTTGTCGTTTCTTGAGGGATTCCAAGAGAGTTGAGTTCATTTTCAGTCCTAAATGCAATTAATTTTCCACTTGTGACTTTGGGTCCATGTTTGATTGCTCATCTTGGAATGTAGTCCATTAAGTTGATTTCCTCAGAGTCTCTGAGGATTTGGAATACTTGAATCAGATCCTCTTATACTGTTTGTTGGGGGTTTTACATTTATAACCATCAAATAGTGTTTATTTGTTTTGTACTGTTCTTACATACAGCAAAGTTGTCACCTTCTGTTAGCTGTTTCTGGTGTATTTTGCATTCAGGATGACATGCCACATGGCCTTTGGTTTACTGGTGAAACCTGTCCATTAACAT